GGGTGTAATTGTAAAAATGTAACAATTACAGAAGGAATATTTGGAGAAGTCTGGATTGGTAAGTATGTAGCTTGATTCCTGTTTAGTATTCGAGTAAGTAATATTTCATTGTGATTAGACGATAAGGACCAAGATTTTCCTGACCCCATGCCAAAAACGATCAAATCATATACATTGTTAAATACCAATAGAATGGAAGTTGTCGTTATTACCTGGGGTGCAACAATTGTATCGTTGAAGGCTCCTGATAAATACGGGCATTCTGCTGACATTGTTCTTGGATTTGAAAACATGAAAGGTACGATAACCTTAATACATTAACTTCGATACGAAAAGTTTTTGAACATTAATGAAGTCGACTGTTGCAGGATACTCGAATCCCATAACAAACCCATTTCTTGGTTGCATACTGGGCAGATGTGCGAATCGTATTAAGGACGGGCACGTCACTATTAGAGGCAAAGATTACGACCTGACAAAGAACGACTTTAATGGCAAACATCATTTACACGGAGGAGTAATTTCACTAATTATTAAACGTTCAGAATAGCAATGGGTCCTTCAATACTTAAATAATCAAAGGAATAGTTTGTCTAAAACACACTCTTTAAACTGATAAACGTTTTATTTTGCATCCTCAGCCTACTAATTATGTCAGCAAATATTTAAACAGTAAATTATTATTAATTTAATCATTATAATAGTATAAATAACTTATATTTTTAAAACATTCATGTTTTATATTAAATTTATATTAATAATTTTTGTTTAATAATTTACACCTGTTTGTTAGACAAATGGATTTGGTCGTAAAATTTGGGACTCGTATATCGCCGGATGCTCTGTCGTAATGAGCTACCTCAGTCCGGATGGCGAAGAAGGCTATCCAGGTGCAGTGTTAACTACAATCAGATTTAAATTGAATCCAGATAATAAGTTAGATATATGCATGAGGGCAACAACTTCGAAACCAACAATCGTGAATTTATCGCATGGTTCTATGTTCAATTTGGCTGGGCATGTACGTAGTAACGATCTTTAAACACACGTTTCGTGAAGTAAATAAGATGTAATAGGATGCCGGTGAATCGGAACTGCGGAAACATAAGGTATTATTGAATTGCGATCGTTGGACGTTCGCCGATTATACGGACCCAGTTCCAACGGGTGCTGTACGCGGCGTAGGTGGAACGGTGATGGACTTCCGAATACCCCGAGTCTTAGGAGAGTACATGAAAAAGGTGTGCAACTTCCACGTACTCCTAAAACATTTACAGTAGCCCACGGAAGTATTCGAACACATTTCAAAACGGAGTAACTTTTTTAATATTTGACCAAGCAATTTAATTTCCTGTGGGATGTCAGAAGGCTTCGTTCATTACATAATATGTAACAAAATATTAAAAAAAAATTCCTATTCATCCACGAATAAAAAGCCGCGAATGAAAAAGTGAAGAACATGATTTTTAACTTAGGACGTCTAATTAAAAACAATTTCAAGTATCCCGTTTGCAGATCTAAGTAAGTTATATACGTGTACAAAGTTTCATAAAAATTGATTAACGTTACTATGAGCTAGAAGCGATAAGAAATTTAAAAAAGTGAAGTTTTTCACGACATTCGGACAAATTAAACAATTTTTATACGTTTCGATGTGTTTATTTTTTTTATGCTTTCACTGATTTTTATGAAAGTTTGTACATGCAGATAACTTACTTAGTTATATACAAACGATACTTCAAATGTTTATTGGAGACCCTAATAAAAAAGNCTAATATCTGAAAAAAATGAAATTGTTAGATACAATATTAAAAGAAATTATTCTATTTTGAAGTGTATCCGAATATTAACCAGAATCATTGTATATATTCCCGAAACATTTAAATTTCCCTTTCGATCGATGCTAGATACCGCCCGGAGAAGGCTTCGATCATAATTTATGCGTTACAAGAAGCGGACAACCAGGTAGCACGTTCGTTGCTAAATTATGGCATGTAAAAAGTGGACGGTACGTATAAATGAAATATAGCAGCCTTTTATTTAAATAACACAATTATTTCGTTCAGTGCTTTAGAGGTCTACTCGGACCAACGTGGAGTGCATCTCTATACTGGAGGTCGGCTACCGCCTCAAGTTGTACCTGAATTTTTATCTACCTACGATTTATTGAAAGTAAATATCGTAATTAATACACTGCGGGTTTTATGCATTTATAGCAAAATTGAATGTACAGAAAAAGTAAAAAATACATATAGTGAACAAAAGTACATGAAGTATCAGCAGCAAAATAGATACAAGCTTTATTTTGCACAAAAATCCGCAGCCTAGTAATTAACATATTAGTTATTTAAATGGCAGCTTGTGAGGCCGATAATAATTCTAGGATATTGAAGAAGATGAAGAACAGTTTGAAGATCACAGAAGCGACGAGGAGGATGATGACGAAGAAGAAATGAGAGTAGAAAGACGTTATAAAAGAACGAGTAAAGTTCCAAAAAAGATAGAATTTATTTCAGGAAAGCGTGGAGCTCGTTATAAAAAATATTGCGCGTTTAGTATTCAACCACAAAATTATCCTAGTGCAATACATTATGTTAGTATCATCCCTGAGTAAATATAGAGTGGTCCACCTAAATTCCACATTAATATTTCTTACTCGTAAATTTATATTTTTGTCCTTTACGTACTTTATTTGACATTGAAACGCATTCAAACATGTTAGTGACAGGATTTTAAAGTGATCTCGATCTAAAATGATTTACGAAGTTTGAATTTTGAAATTAAATATAAAATTCATTTCTACCACTATCCTTGATTTTTAGCAGCGACCAGTGAGAACCTGCAGATGTATAAATCTCAATTAATCGCTAATAATTATATTGGTGTTGCCCAAAATTCAGAAAAAATGTTTTGTAAAATATGCACGTTTTGATATTATTTTCATCGCATACACATATATTTCCTACTATCGCAAATGAAGAAAATATTTAAGTGGCTACATTTAGGTGGACTACCTCATATATTAATGTCACGACAAGTCTTCAAATGAGAGAATTAATATTAACTTTTTCAGTCACATTTTCCATGTTCTATATTATACCCTGGCCAGATTTATTATCATGATCTGACCTACAAGTTCGAAGTGCACTTGTCAAATTATATGTAACATCTCCAGAACCGCACGTAAGTAACAACATCATTTATTTCACCACGATCAGTTTGTTTTTTTTACTATTAAAAAACTTTCCGATGGTTCCAATCATTTTACCAAAACTGTCATGGATCACTAACGTGCGTTGAATCCAATTTGGAAGCGTTTTCGTCTTAGTAGTATAGCGTTTATCTAATAATACCACGGTTGAATAATCGTTAATGTGGCGAATAGCTCGTCCGATGCATTGATTTACTGCCTTCATACACGAATTTTCATAGAAGTTTTGACCAGCGCCCGATTTCTAGTAAATAAACTTATCATTAAATAAACTTAAAATATTTTTTATCAAAAATAATTGAATACGTACAACGTTCTCATTCAGGTATTTAATCTTCTCTTGTAACTCCAGTGACTTAATATTAGGATAAGGCATTCCTACGACTACGACGCATCTACCCAAGTCGTCAGAAAAATTTAATCCCTCGCTTAATTTACCTCCAACCACACTAAACAATAACGATCCATTTTGCGGACTTTGCGGCTTCTTTATGTGAAGCGAATATTGTTCCAAAATTTCATTTACCTACGATTTACAACTTCGTTACCTTCCCACGCATAATTTTTTTTAAATTAAGTATAAGTAATACCTGAGACGCTAATTTAGGTTCTCGGAAGATACGTTTTTTCGTAGAAAGTTTCGTTATAAGACCAGTCTTCTCCAAGTGTTTGTAAATCACCTCTTCGAAGTTATAAGAGGGTAAGAATACTACGATTCCAGCTGGTATAATGTTACATAAATTTAATAGCGCTCTTCCTAGTTCATCTAGCTAAAATATTTTTACTATAACATTTATCTGTCCGTCTAAATTCATTTTAATTGAGATATTTACCAATTTTGTGTTTTGTCGACTTTGAAAATTAAATTCAAACTCTATTCCTGACGGACCATGAGTCGCGATACTACATAGAATGTTTTCTTCGGGAACTACGTGATCGCAAGAAAATGTAACAATTCTTTCAGGCTTAGCGCCAGCTGCTATAAACAGTTGCTCTGTAAATTCGTTCATCGGTGCCATTGTTCCTCCAGCCAATATTACTGCCCTCGCATCTCGGACTAAATTACAAACAGAACTTGTATACGGAACAATTATAACGGTAATGATACTTAACACTAGAACTACCAAACCAGTCAAAATTACGGGTTTATAATGGAGAAATGCATGTATAGGCTGCCTACGGATTAAATAAACAAATTACACCAGAACGTTTTATGAGCAAAAATAAGAAAATATGTTATATAAACGTGGATCTGCAAACGTTTTATTATCCAGGTTTATTACATTGGAAAGAAGTTTACGTTTCCATTTCAAAATTTAAAATTCTTTGTATGCGAAGGGGTAGACGCACACAGCTGTTCAGTTTCAATTTGAGCCTGTCTTTCGCAACTGTGTAAAAGCTCTGCTGAACATCATGAAATCTGGCACTCTTCTACCAGGGAATCTTCGCTGATATTCTCTAATGGCAGATCAAAAATTTCCATCATAGAAACCGTAAACAGAACTACATTAGCTTTATTAATCTTCGTTTCTAAACACTCTTGACAGTTTGTATGAAACTGTACTACGTTCTGACATTTCGGAACTGATATTAGGTATTTCTTCACTTTATATTTTTATTATAAAGCGTTTCCCAATCTAGGTTTATGATACTTTTTTCTTGTTTTTACTTATAGAATATACTGGAGCAGTTTGATCGTTTAATCCGCTGTATAAAAAAAAATCAGTAGTTCTAGTGTTGAATTGTTCTATGTCTTACCGATATCATGGAAGTGTGCCGCCGGATTCAGTAAAAGAAATTTGATAACACCCTGTCCTACAGTTGCGCCAGGAACAACGAAAATACGTCCGTCGGAGCAGCAACTTTGCAAACATTCTAAGAAGCCTATAATTGAAATTATCGGATTGTTTGGCCGTTCTTCATCGGATACAACGTCTACATTTCCCTGTGGTACGTTCGATTCTGTACCACCGGCTTTAATCGAATTTAAAAATTGCTTTACACCATCCGCCTTTGAATCGCGTTTATGAATTTTTACAGTTGTATCGTACTGTTCCGTAAACCCCTGTAGTTTGTGACTCAATCGCGAATTCTTAATAAACTTCAGTAATTCAAATATATTTACTGTGTCAATTTCTGTTGCTACCTCAAAGTCCTCTATTTTATATAATTTTGAGCATGCGTTCCCTGCATTTACAGGATCGTTAGGATTTGATTTTGTGCTAGCTCCGAGGACTACCAGTAACTTTTTCAAGCAGAAACTCAACTGACTCAAGCTCAAAACGTTTTTAGCAGAGAATAAAGCTTGGAATCTCTTCTGGTATTGGCAAAGTTGGCTGTAACAGTGTAGCAGGTTTCTACCCGTGATCACAACACTATGTATTCTTTCAATAGCCTCAAGCAAGTTATGTGCTTCGTCAATTATTAATATATTTCCTTTCAAGTTGATTCCAGAACTGACTCGTGTGTTTTTGTGTAATACGGAATTGTATGGTATTAATATCAGCTGATTATGTGGGACAGCTTTCCTTGATCCATAATATGGACAAGTTTTAAGATTTTCTCCATTCTTTACAATTTCCTCAACATCTTGAATCTCCATCAATGTTTCTCCTATTAACAAGTCTTGATTTCCTGGTACCAAAGGACAGCCATTTGCCACCTTCTTCTTCTTAACGTCTTTCTCATCTTTAACAGTCGTCTTCTTCTTTTGCAATTGCAAACAACATTCATTTATTAGATTCAAATGTTTCAGTTTCTTTACGTTCTTATTAATGCAATAATTTTGCCTAAAATAAGGAAATTTAAGTGTCTTTGCACTTGATATTCACTTTATGAAATAAATGTCGCGGAAATACCTAGATGCCAATGTTACAACAGATATGTTTTTGGAGTAAGGACTCTTTTTCAGTTCTCCTATAAATTGAGACAATTGAGAATGAGTTCTGGAACAGAAAAAGATCTTTGTACTTTCATAAGTTTCCTCTGGTTTGTCTTCATCCTCAGAATTTTCTGAGTCTTGAATTTCTTCTAAAAGTAAATCGTCTTCGGTATTCTCATTCCCACTGGTTTCAACCAGGTCATTTTCTTTCTCAGTCTTATCTTTCGCGAAAGCCCGCCTGATTTGTCGAGCTTTATTATTCTTATCCATATTTTTAGCCATTTCTTTCAGTGTGTTCTTCTTCCTCTCGTATTGAAGAATACTGTTCAGTTTCGCTTGTAATATTTGCCTTTTAGTATTCAATTCTATTTGTTCCGTTTGCACGGAGAACCAATTTTTCGAAGAGTGCGAACATTTCTTTATCTGTTCGTCAAGTTCAGAAATTGTATGATTTAATTTGTCTCTTTCCCCTTCTTCGTAATCGAGTAACCATTTCAAACTGCCGCAAATAATTGACATAGATTTACCCGTACCTGTCGGACTCTCGAAGATTCCTAATTTCGAATCTTCCAAACATTTATACAACTCCTTCATAAATTCGTTTTGTATTGGATAAGGAGGAAAAGGGAATGGAAACTCTTCCGTAGTTTGCATATTAAAGAATGATTCAGAACTAAAAGTATATTCAAAACAACAAATCAACTGGTACTCACTTACAGGCTCCTGCCAAGCTGGGGGGGCAAACCTAAGTGGGGCGAGTTGAAGTAAAGTTTCTAGCGCCTCGTACCAAAGGTTCACGAACTAAAGTGTATAAATGTGTGAACGATCCCATGTGTGCGTGCATACGTACATGCCGTATGTATATGCCTTTAAGGACGTTAGTCCCAAAATCCATTTTCTACAGAATGTTTTGAAATTTTGCATGAGTATTCAATAGAGCACCACAAATATATGTGTAAAATCTTAGAGAGATCTGATGAT